ATGTTTTTATAACTCCCTTTAAATTATATTAAGCCTTAAAGTTCTGCATAATTAAGGGCGTGGCCACTCGAGTGACAGGTGGATTGCCGCTGCTGTCACCACCATCGAGCTAGGTGGGCGTGGCTTCACCAACCTTCTCCCGCCTCTTTGCCCATTTTCGATTATCCGGGAGTGACGCGCGGTGACGCGCTGCCAAGATGGCGACGGCCGGCTCCGCCCACTTTTGAGCTTCAAAAACGCTCTTCTGAAATCTACGGGTGACGTCACGGACACTACGTCCATGTTTTTATACAGTCTATGGTTTTAATGCGCAGCGCTGTAAAAACGCGTCTGTCTCTTCTGGCTCTGCGCAAGTCAGCGAACGCAGATTTGAATTTAGCAGCTGGTGATGTTTTACTTTTTTCCATTACTGCCACCCACAGGACAAACTGCGCGTTGAACCCAAAATAATTTGGTGTTATAGGATTCCAAATTTAGGGGGGCCAAGCTTGTTGACACGGGGGGCACTGTGTCTTCAAATGAAGACTACGTTTTTTTTACTGCATTTAATGCAAGTGTACAGAACTTTTAGTGCATTTAATGAAGGCTTCAGAAACCATACAAAGTAAACATGACGGTCAAGTTTAAAATATTAGAATTTGTATTTTTCTTACACATGCCTATCGTTTCGCTTAAGAAGACACTGATTCATCAACAGCAGTTGTATGGGTCATTTTTTTGTGTAGTTTTTGAAGCACCATTTTTGGACGTCCTGTACACTTGCATTGCAGAGAGATGGATTATTTTTTTATTTATTATTTATTTTTTTCCAAAAAGTCTTATATTGTGTTCATCTGAAGAAAGTACGTCATATGCGATGGCATGACAGTATAAAGGATGGAATTTCCCTTTAAGACTTAATTTTTTTTTGTTCCACTTTGCTGCATTTTAATTGTTTTTGTATGCACTAGATAACATGCAGTCATTGTATTTAGTTTTCTCCCTTTAACCAAATCTTTGTATTTCTGTCTGACCAAACATTTTATGAAGTTTATTTTTTTAAGCAATTTCACTTTGCGTTGAGATGACTCAACAAGATGAAACAATAATCTCTTTATTTATTTATTTTAAATGTGTACTTTTTTACTTTTACTCGAGTCTTTTAATTAAGTAAAATGCTCACTGAATAACTGTACTTTCACTTGAGTATAAATTTTTAGTACTTTTTAAACCCCTGCTCACTTTGAAACAGATTAATGGTTTGAAACATATACATTGCACGACTCGGGAAACACGAAGTTTTGAAAAGACAAATCTTTATTTTTCCACACTTTTCTAAACAGCTAATGAACACAATCTATGAAACTTACAGTAGGCTGTTTTTTATATTATAATGACCTCAAAAGACCAGGTTTCTGTATTGAAATCTAATACCTCATATATTCTATTTAACCCAGTAAACTACATTTTTACACAGAATTGCGTGCGCACTAGACTTAAAACAGATGCCATTAAAATAGGTCATGTGTTTATCATTACCAGCTAAGTCAATAACAAATATATTGTTTGGTTCCAAAGAGGAGTCTATTACTTACATATCTATATTAGCTTTTTAAAAAGGATTTTAATTATAAATTAAAATAGAAATTAGCATTTTGCATCAATTTGTCATTCAGCAGGCCTACATGACAACAGTACTAAAGTATTTTCCCTCCCCCTTTACCAGTCAAGTCCTGTCATACCTTGAGTGCATTGATAATATGCTATTAATGTATCAATAAATATTCATTCAGTAAACTGATATTAATCTGTGAAGCAAGAAATTTTAAAAAGGGGGGTGAATGTTTTGATCTAGTAATAAAATTGTTCTCAAATAACACCTTGAGTTTGAGTTGCTCTCTGGACCCAAGATCAAATTATTAACTCTAAAAATATTTTGTGTCACTATTCCTCTAACAATTCTGCTGTTTTCTACATATATATTTCGATGAAAAAATGCAAATAGAACCCATGACAGTCATTTAGGTATTAACATAATTCGTTTTTTTTTTTTGTGATTATTAAATATATAATGGTGTACGGATGACGGTAATTATTTTGTTGTATGTGCTGGGAAATTGATTTTCTTTATTTGACTTGAAGTTAAACATTGACCACTGAATGTAAATAAAAACCTCCTGCTGACTCCACTATAAAAATGTCCCCATTCATTTGCTTCTGTATTTGCTTCTTAATCTCAGCTCAACTTGGAATAAACAGCATGGAGTGTAAGCAGCAGTTTAAATGGTTAATACTTGCAATGATATGTCCTCTTATTGCAGGTAGGTCTTTTTGCTTATTAAGATTAATGCATTCTGAAATATACAGAAAAAATATTTTAGAAATAAAATGGCAACAACTGACAAAAGTTACTTCCGTCATATTTTTCATGGCCTCCTCCAATGATCTGGCTGTTTCCACTACAGGTGCTCCGTCCTCCATGTCCAAACGAGACAGTTCATGTCCCAAAGAGAATCTAAACATTACTGGAGGGACCTTTGTTCTTTCTAAAGGCTATTCACATGGGAGTCTTCTAAGATACATCTGTCCGAATGGATATTACCCGTCGGTTCAGTCACGTCTGTGTCAAGATGGACACTGGACCTCAAAGACCAAATCCAGAAAAACCCCAGAGTGCAAAAGTAAGAAACAAGGCATTATTTGTGTCATTATATCATGAATAAATGCTGGACTTATTTCTTTGTATTATACTCTTCTACTGTATGCATTTATTCATGCATTTATCCTAGAGATCACATGTCCCAATCCCCGTGTTTTCGAGAATGGAGAGGTGATTCCATATAAAGACAAGCACTATGTAAATGACACAACCACCTACTCATGTCATTCCGATTATATGTTCCGTGGCTCAGCAGACCGTGTTTGCAAGCCTAATGGGAAGTGGAGTGGAAACACACCAATTTGTGGACGTGACTGTGAGTTATCGCTATCAATTTTTAAATATGTAAGCACACAGAAGTTTCCATGAACTAGTCTGACTTAAAGAGAAATTTAGTTCCTAGTGTAATATCTCCTAAGTAAAATTCATATAAAAGAGTCCTTGGGTTCATCTTAAAAATAAACTACTTTGTACTTCTGTTCTGTTTTTATCTGATGTCACGTGAGTTCATCAAAGTTTTAGCAGAAATTTCTCTCCATGCATCTGACTAAAACAGCGTTTTTCAAACGTAAGTCCACAGATCTCCACTTCCATTTGTCTGTTTTTTTTTTACTGTCGCACAGCTGATCACTGTCCTGATCCTGGTGTTCCCCCTGGTAGCAGTCGAACAGGGAACATGTTTAATCTAGACGACAAAGTCACATACCGCTGTGAGAGTCTATTGACCTTGATTGGTTCCAAAGTGCGAGTGTGTCTCGATGGAGGCCAGTGGTCAGGAACAGAGCCACAATGTTACGGTGAGTCTTCTAAAAGTTACATCGAAAATCCAAAATCATGTGCTTTGCAGTACATGTTTTCACAAAAATAAGTTGTTGTAAGATTTAGCTAATGAAAAGTGGCTTTTCTGGACAATGCACCTATAATGTTGTTGTTGTTGTGTAAATACTGTACAGCTGGTTTCACATATGACACCCCAGAGGAAGCATCAGAAGCTTTCAGCAGTTCTCTAAAGTCAAATCTAGCGGTTTCTCAACAGTATGAAAAAGAAGGTACCTTTGTGTGACTTAGAGCATAATCATACACACACCTTTTTTAAATTTTCATTATTAATTGCCATGCTCAGAAGAAGAGACAAAATCACATCAGCACATTTAAACATGAATACCATGTTCCTTCTGCTTTCAGATCAGCAGGGGAAGAAAATAACTATGGATCAGGGTGGAAAACTTGATATTTACATTGCTGTGGATGCATCTGAAAGCATAGATCAGAAGAATTTTGAAAATGCAAAAACCACCATAAAAATGCTTATAGACAAGGTATGTCAATTGTCAAATAATTTATGGGAACACATAAAGAGGTTGCTGTGGTGAAGTTGTAAGACCACTTATTTAGGCTACTGATGTAGGTTATGTAGCCTTTCCTAAAAACATTCTAAAAGCATTAATTTAACTGCTGTTCATTTTGATGTTAAAGGTTCTGTAATAATATAAATATCAATATTTGAAAAGGATTTACCATTGTGATACACTGAGATGCTATCAAGACTGAACTTAACTCAGACTCATATTGTCAGAACCCTCCAATTTGAGCATTAGTGTGTTTTAGGAGGGCGTAGTCTCCCACAATCCACTGCATACTTGCTGCATCTCAGTGAAAATCCTGTTTCACATTATGGAAGCATGAACTTCACTGAAATCCAGCATTTTGATCAGAAAACAGACAGATGTTGCTTTCAACTTTGAATTCTCAATGCTTTTCCCCAAAAGATTAGTTATTACCCGGTTTCCCCAAACTATGAGATCCTGATATTTGCTACAGATGTTACGCCGATAATCACTATGAGGGACTTCAAAAATAATGAAGATGCAAGAAACCTAATGAATATTTTTAAAGCGCTGGACGACTTTAATTATGAGAGTAAGTATTCTGATTGAATGTCTCTCTTTGAGTCTTATTGTATACATGGATATAATTAGATCTTTTTAGAGATTATTATTACAGAGTAATGTACTATGCAAAAATAGTAATTTTAAGTCTAACTTGAGGAGAATGCATGTATTCATTGCTATCCAATGTGAAAGTAAAAATGAAAAAATCTTACATTCTTTTTTTAAAATCTCAATTCATGTTCTAATTTTGATTCATTTTAATTTAGATTTAGTCAGTTGTTTCAATCAGAAAATGTTTCTAACCTGCTGACTGTAATATTCTGGTGTGAAAAAACAGGTAGAGGTGATAAAACAGGTACCAATATCGCCAAACTCTATACAGCCATTTTAGGCAGCATGAAAATAGAGGAGCTCAACAATGCAATGACTTTCAGTGAGACCCAACACATCGTCATACTGTTCACTGATGGTATTGACTTTTCAGTATTTACGTACAATTTAGTATATACATATGCATCTCTGCTTAATCTGTTTAAGTTCTTTATCGGAACAAATAAATTAATATATTAATAAAATACTCAATGCACAGTATTACAAATTAGAATCAATTTTGAGATCAATTTTTCAAAATTAATCAAATATTCACTGTAATTTATTTCATCTTACTTTATAGGTCAGGCAAACATGGGGGGGAATCCCAGACCTAAAGTGGAACAGATCAAACATCTTGTCACCAAAAATGTTCCTATGCGAGAGAAAAATCTTGGTGACCATGAAATTTATTAATCATAATTATATTTTAAATCAAAACGTTTGAACTGAAAGTGTTTTTTTTTTAAGTGTCTTTCATTCACAAGCAGTAACATCAGGGACAGCAAAAAAATACACATATTTGTTTAGTCTTTATCATTGATTTCATATTGATTTGGATGTGTCCTCTCTTTACAGATCTTTATGTATTTGGAGTTGGAAATGACGTGAATCAAGAAGACATAAATGGTTTAGTGTCACAGAGGGACCAAGAAAAATATTTCTTTAAGCTTAAAGACTTGACAGAGGTGCAGGAGATGTTTAACGACATGATTGGTACTGTATCTGTACTTCACCCAAAAGTTAAATTTCTGTAATTATTTAATCACCTTCATGTTCATCTTTTCTGTGGAACACAAAAGAGAAATGACTGTCATGCTCTAAAAAAACAAAAACAAACACAGTTGCAATAACACTATTGTTTGGATGAATCAGTTTCGTAGTTCCTGACCTCTTGGAATAATTCTTTGTAATTTACTCAGTGTTAATTGCTGTTGTTGTTATTAACCCTTTATACCTGCTTCTTTACACAGATGAGAGCACCAGTGTAGGATTGTGTGGGATTGTGTGGGAAGGCTTGGAAAATAAACGCCGTGCATTTCCCTGGTTGGCACAGATTAATATTCAAGTTAGCATACCCTTTTTATCATTTTATTATAGAACTCAATTAAGTTAAAGGAAACATTTTCTCCCACAAGAAGAAGAAACATGCACGTTATGGCTAAAGAGCTGAACCTTATGAACATCAGTCTTCTCTGCTCTTCATGTAGCATCCTTCTTCAAAAGGTTCCAATTGCATGGGGTCATTAGTTTCCTCAAGTTACATCTTGACAGCGGCTCACTGCTTCAAAGAGGGAGACACACCTGATAGGATAATAGTTAAACTGGAAAAAGACCTGGGTATGTCCTGATACATCCATATTTTCAGACTGAAGTAAAACGTGTCGCAGGGTAAATCTTATCAATGATGTTTACATTTCCTTTTGCAGTTGTAAAAGTGAAAAAATTCACACTTCATCCTGAATATAACCCCACAGCAAAACAGCATATGGGAATACAGGAATATTACGAATTTGATGTAGCTCTTATACAGCTGGTTACAGCTGTTGAGATGAGTTTTAATCTGCGGTGAGGAGCACAGATCTTCAACATGTGATGCTACTTTAGTGAGAATATGAAAAAAGAAGAAGACGAAAAAAAGCTGAACTAATTAAATAACATCATGTGTATTTCTCTACAGACCTGAACTTGAAGTCAAATGTTAAACATCTATTATCAATATATCATGTTTTACTCATTCAATGTTATGTCTTTGTTATGTCTATGTTGGTGCGGGACAGTCTGTACTGTATATCCAACCACTGGCAGGCAGGGAAGTTTCATTATTGTTGCGATTTCACAACTTATTTCCATCTGTCTTGAGAATGATAATAGCAAGGAAAAAGTATGTAGCCTAACTAAATTTGCTGTTTTAGGGCTGAAGTATAATTGAGAGAATATGAAGATTACATCATACATGAAAAATGAGAGCTATGGCATTGATCAGACAAGAACCATTGTCATGTTAACATGAATTCCAAACACACTTGTTAGGCTGGATTCTGTGCAATTTTCTTCTGAGCAAACATGTGAGGGTGTTGAAAACATCTATGACCATCCTTAAACTGTGTGTGAAACTGCACACTTACATTGTCTTTTTAGCGGCTTCCACTAAAACACTAGTATTGGTAATAGGAGCGAGCAAGTAATTGACGCGTAAAAATAAGTCCATGCAAAACCGAAGTAAAATGCAACAGTGTCCTTCTTTATTGTGCTCCAATGAATAAACATTGCTTCCAATTAGCTTCCCGTGGTGTCATTTTGTCTAGTTCATAGGATACAAAAGTACATAGGCCTACCTTGTAGACACAGCATACAGTTCAACTCAGTCCAAACACATAATCCAATAATTTGGCATGATGAAGCACGATCCAAACCCGTCCAAAACGGTCAAAAACTGTGTGCTTCCCTACTACCAATACACACCTGTTGTCTCTTCTTCTTCTGTTTTTTGGCGTGTTATATCCTGTGTGCATATCGCCACCTGCTTTTGCTTTTATGCAGTCATGGTTTATTTATCAATTTATTCCTTGTTTTTGCTTTTAATGTTCTTACACACGTATATACACAAATATTCCTACTTAATTATTCGATGCTCCATCCCATTCCTTCTCCCCAGGCTCCACCTGGCGCTGCGTGTTCAGCTCCTCCAGACTAAATCCGTGGTCTCCTAAAGATCCAGAATAGAATAGAGCATCCGCAGTCTATATTTAAATCCTTTCACTTAACCCAGTAGTATATATGTATTTTATTAATATCTTGTATCCTTCTCTATCTCTGTTATACTCGTATCCTTATAAGTATTCCAAATCCTTATTTACCTTACCTTTTTTGTTTAAATATTTGAAATCACTTGGGGTACATTTCGACCTCTCTTCCAAATAACACCATCATCAGCATATAACGCACATCCCACACCATATCCTAAATTGTCAAAAATATCATTAATCATAATGTTAAAAAGAATTGGACTTATTACACTCCCTTGTGGAATACCATTTTCTGCCTTAAAAACTGATGACTGACACGCTCCTACTTGTACTATAAATGTTCGTTCAAATAAAAACTGAGATAACCAATTATACATTTTACCATCTATTCCTATCCTTGATGCTTTAATTAACAACCCTTCTCTCCATATTGTGTCGTACGCTTTTTCTATATCAAAATATACTACTGCCATAATTTCTTTCATTTTTATTGCCTTCTCTACTTCGTTACTGACTTTTATTAATGCATCCATAGTTGATCTTTTACCTCTAAATCCACACTGATATTTACATAATTTACCTTTCTTTTCTAACTCATAAGATAATCTGTGAACTATGATCTTTTCCATTAATTTACATAAGTTTGAAGATGATGCCATCTTAACCGGTTTTTCAATAAACTCTACAACATCTGAGAACTTTGCCCTGCCATGACTAGACTCCATAATCTCACAAGCCTTAGCTCTCCATTGCTCTCTCAGCTTGTAAGGTAACTTCATTACAACCATTTTCATGTTGCTAGGCATGTTAAGTTCTTGCATATATGAGAGTTCGTCCATTGTGTTGCAACATGTACGCAAAAACAAAGCATAAGCCTGTAATCTCTGCACATCTTCAGCCTTCAAAGTGGGCCAACCCAAGGCTTTCGCCATATAGGCAGCAGACACTTTAAACTCATTACCAAAATGTTCCTCTAGTAACCTTTTGGCCAATGCATAGCCTCTGTCTGGGGCCATATGTTGGCAACTGTGGACCAGGTCTTTAGGCTGCCCCATTGTAAACTGTTCGAGGAAATACAAGTGATCCTTTTCATTTGTTGTTTTCTGCTCAATGCCATATTCAAACACTCTGATGAATGGAATATATTGCAATGGGTCACCATCAAAGACTGGAATCTCCCTTTTTGGTAGGACATGAGGATTGGCTTGCTGTTGAACGAGGTAGGTTGTTAATTCCTCTTGCCTTTTCAGGTCTTCAAGCAGGGGATCGCCCAGAGGTGGAAGAACGCGTGTTGCATGATGAATTCTCAAGTTATCATGTTGCATTTGAGCAGAATAATGGAAATTAGATTGTTCAGATGTATGAAATATTTGTTGATCATTCCATCAACGAAGTAAATCCTCAATTAGTCACATATCCACGACGAAATCCAGCGTCCACAGAACGAATCCGTACTGGATTGAAGAATCCGCGTTCAGTGAAGCCTCCATCTCAAAGAAGTGGCGTCCATATGCAACACACACGCACAGGCCATTGGAAGCAAGTTCTCTATGCTCACAACTTAGTGAAGCTCAGTTTTTGACTTATGTAGCGGCTTCCACTAAGACGCTAGTATTGGTAATAGGAGCGAGCAAGTAAAAATAAGTCCATGCAAAACCGAAGTAAAATGCAACAGTGTCCTTCTTTATTGTGCTCCAATGAATAAACATTGCTTCCAATTAGCTTCCCGTGGTGTCATTTTGTCTAGCTCATAGGATACAAAAGTCCATACCTTGTAGACACAGCATACAGTCCAACTCAGTCCAAACACATAATCCAATAATTTGGCATGATGAAGCACGATCCAAACCCGTCCAAAACGGTCAAAAACTGTGTGCTTCCCTACTACCAATACACACCTGTTAACCAATTGCCCTACTATTTCCAGTGCGCCACCCAATGGACAAACACATAATTGCATTCAAATGGCTCATACAGTTGATGAAACCCGATTTTCTTGCTTTGCCCGCACTTCCCATAAAGTAAGTTTCTAACCAGTAAGCAAGCTGATTGTTACAGTGAAATATAAATATAGAAGATAAGGAAGAAACCTTGTAAGAAACCACGATTCTGCAGGGGAAGCCCATTCTCCACATATTTAAAATTACTGATTAACTTTAAGTTACCTATAGATAATTGGACTATAATTAATATAGATTTAATGGGACACATTTTTGGAAGAAAAAAATATGAATGTTACAGTCTTGTCTCATGGACACCTTGATTAGCTAGCAAGCCAATAGACTGGTATATGATTCTGTGAAAGCTGTGCATCTAATTGAAAATAATTAAAATATTAAAATGATGCACAATTTGACAAAAAGTATATGCAGGAAAAATGGCATAATTCCTTAAACCATAAAATGGAGTGGGGTTGTATGAGAAGAATAGGAACAAAACAAGACCTGTTACACAAGTACCTGTTACCCATTACAAAATTAGCTATGCACTGTTCCCATTCAATTTGATACTTATAAATATCACAAATATGTCACAAATTTAGAAACTGAAACAGCTTATTTTTTTATTTTTTATTTTTTTGGTAAATGCTACTATTTCAGCAAATTGTTTATGATTGCAGCAAAGGGGGTTTTGCAAGATTTCATCATAGTGGTTTTGGTGGTGCACCATTTAATTCTTAATGCAACAAGTACAAAAACTGAATCAAACACTGGAGTATATTTCTGGCAGCAACAACAAAAAAAGGACTGTATAAAAATAACATATCAAAAGCCACAATATTAACAGTGAATAATGCATATTAATATTTATTTTAAATGTCAAATTTTGACCATTTTCTCTTATTAAATGTTGACCTTTTTATCTTATACATGTGATAGTAACAGTGGAGATCCTGATGCAATGTTGCTTTGTTAATTTAATTAGTCCAAATTTATGTCAAACACCCCAAAGCCCATTTCTTTGATCTTTTTTTAATCTTTCAAAAAAAATTCTACATTTATTTCCCATTTCCTTTACCTCATTTCATCCATTGTCAATGTCTGTCAAACATCCTCCTGCATACTGAATTACATTTCAGAATAAAATAAAGAATTTATCAGAACCAGTTTTAAGATAATTTTGAAGATAATTTTAAGATCAATCAGGTTAAGAGTCCATGCATGAAGAAAATCAAGTTAGTTTTACCTTGACAAATTATTTGACAGATTAGCGCATGTCTATAGTCACTTCCTCTTGTTTACCTTGCTCTATAAATATGTGGCCTTCCTCAGTTGTTGATTCATTTGCTGTGTGAACCTGACAAGAACATCATGGAGCGTGAACCATGGCTGAATCTATTCCTGCTCGCAATACTGTGTCCTCTCATAACCGGTATGTCTTCTGGATTTGGCTTTAACCAGAAATATAAATAGAAACTTCTGTTTTGCTTTTTAACTGAAATACTGATTTGAGGGAACTTTAAACCCATAAATGCATTAAATTATTAATTAATTTTCATTTTACAAGAGCAGTATTTCACATTTAATAGTCTGTAGTCATATAGTCCAAAGCAATAGTCCAACATTAGTCTGTGGACAATTTATTGTGGTGTTTAAACACTATGTACCTGTACAGTCTGAAGTTTCAAGCATCATGTTTCTTTTATAGCGTAGCATTGTTGAATTTGTAGCACGATTAATTTGATAAATAAAAATAGCTGTACATTTAATGGCATTGATAAAGAACCTTTAATATCTACGGAATCTTTCCATTGTACAGTTGGCTCTTCATAGTGGAAAAAAGTTCTTTAGACTATTAAAATGTTCTTCACACTAAGAAAAAATTGTTCTTTTGAGAACTGTTCACTGAA